CAGTTTTTGCGCGAGTACTTTAAAATAATAATAATAATTATAATTATTATTATTAGCATCGTCATCACCTAAAGTAATTATCCAAAATCTTGTTGTCCAAAATAATTTCTTATAATAGTAATTATCATATTTAAAGATGTCATAGTTGTAACCACCTATTAAAATAAAGAAAACATCGTAATATTAAAAATTAAATATAAAGAAAGATAGAATATCAAATATATATAAATACAAAATGTAAAATAACCAAATATAACTAATATAATCAATATAACTAAGATAACAAAAATAACCAAAATACCGTACCGTAAATAATTCTTTCATCAAATCTTTTCGTATCACCAAATTTTTACGTATAGTAATACATTTTCTACACATTTCTCTTAAGATTACCATTTGATTTGATGTCAAGAGTTGATCAATTCTAATAAGTAAAGCGAAAATCCATTGAGATTTTGTGATGGTCATTCCGGTATCTAACCATTTGATATGATATGAAAAGTAAAGAAATTATTATTTCCTAAAAAATTTAAAATAAAATTAAAATAAAATATATGATTCATAATGTTAACATGATTAGATAATAATATGATACTAAAGTAATAAATAAAGGTAATATTTCACCTGATCTAATCTTGAAATTATATAATATTCATACTAGGTAACATCATTGTTGCTATTCCTTCTTCATTATTTTCTTTCAGTTCTTTTTTTAATTCTTTACCTTTCTTAGAATATGATATGAAAATGAATTTTCATTATTATCATCATCATTATCATCTCCTCGACCTCCATCATTACCATCACCACCAAAGCTTTCACCAAAACTTCCAAAATCTTCACCTAAAGGACTCAAAGGATAATCTAATCCATAACAAAAATTTTAATCAATCAGCTTCATCTTTCGATTTATGTAATTTCACTGATTGGTAAAGTGAATTATTATTATTATTATTACTACTATTATCATCATCAGAGTTATTATTTTTATTATTATTAGGGGAAAGTTTGGAAATTCCTGAAACAAATAAATCAGTAAATAATAAATTAATAATTAATTAATTAATTCATAATAATAATAATAATAATAATAATAATAATAATAATAATAATAACAACTTTTTATAAAT